TAAAATTTAGAATATTAAAAATAAGTATAACACTAAATATTCTTAGACTTCATTTAATTCGTAAAATTAGGATTATTGTTAGTATTTGGGAGATCTTTAGAATTATGTAGATCCTCCGTATTTTTAAAATTCGCAGAATTCTCAGTATTTTCAGAATTCTGGATTAAGAGATCATTATACTGCGTCATCTACGTGACTTCATTATGATTAGTCAATTGCTCCGTTGATAACAGGTACAAAAACATTTTCCTGAAGCAACACCTGAACAAGTTAATGAAGCCTTTCAAGTTAGCAATAAGTTAGTTTACTTGTCAAAGACCTGCTATTCTTGTCTAGAACTTACTTTGCCTTTTTTGATAATCTAAGATGAACATTCAGATAAGCTTTTGTATCATAATGATTAGTCAGTTCAAAGTAATGTGCTAACCTTTTTTTATTGAATTTTAACTAAACATTCAGATAAGCCTTTGTATTGTAATAATTGGTCAACTTGAATGTGACACATTAACCTTTATAAACGCCAATCTTCTTTTTTTCTTTTCTGCGTTAATATTCTTAAACAAAATTTTTCTTGTAATCTCTTTAAAATGATCTTAAGAAGAAATTAACGAAGTTAAGAAGAAGGTTCGACTTCTTGAGAATGAGCTTTACAAAACTAAGTTTACTGTCACAGTTTTGCATTAAGTTGAAAAGAATGATTTAAATACTGTAAACACTGCTTTTAATGAAATCTTCTCTTTTTTGAAAAGCAAAATACCAATATTACTTGATAGTTTAGATATAATGAGTTTACCGCAGAATTGTAAGAATGAAGATGAAATGCAGAAAAAATTCATAAAGTTTTTTATCTCTTTAAAGAGACAAATTAAATGTAATATCATTGATATGTCAACTTCAAACTGGCTAAAGGGTCTTATTGGAAAGATTAATATTTCTATAGTTGATGGATCACAAGTTTTGTAGGCTCATCTTGTATCTAAAATCGAGATTAAATATTCACTAAGTAATACTATCTTATATCACGAGACAATCAGACAACTCGTAGACCATTTTAAACTGTTTTCAGAATGCAATGTGCACAATACTTTATTATTAGCGCTATTTGTTATGATAATCTTGTAGAGTTCATATATGCTAATTCTAAACTTAAACTTAAATATTCAGGCTTATTGGAACTCAGTTTTACTAAATAGATAATAAGAATGCAAATGCTACTAAATATGTTGAGTTTAAATCAATATCAGTTTGACTACTCTTCACCTAAAGATTATGAAGCGTTGGTCAGTATTGCAAGCTTTACCTATGAAAACGTTCTTCAACAAGCAGATAACTAATAAGGATCACTTGTTTTCTCTGGCTTTATAAACTCAAAAAAGCTATTTTTAAGACCTCTATGAATCTCAATAATGAGGTGAAATTGCTTGAGATTCTTAAATATTGCAAGTATATTTCCCAAGTTATTAACAAAGGATTATTTTCAGATAGCAGAATGTATGTTCTGATTTTCATGTGAAATCATCAAAAGTATTTTAATTGATCATTTTCATATAGGTTCATTATAACGATACTGGCTGATATACATCTCGAAGCCAAAAAGCACAGTATGAAAGGGATTTTAAAGGTTTTGCAAGATGTTGTAAAAGCTTTAAAGTTTTCTTATGATCATCACATTTATCATCATGGTGTTTCATATTTAAATATTGTATACAAAAATCAAAGAGGCTATTTTATTAATTAGAGTGTAACATCGAATATTTTTGATTTAATGAATACTTCATTAATCAGAACTTATCTATTTTCTTCTCTTCTGATATGTTTATTCACTTATTATTTGTGCAATAATATATGTAATTTCTTCTTCTCTTCTGATATGTTTATTCACTTATAATTTATGTAATGATATATGTAATTTTATACCATTTCAAATTTAGGTTTTGATGAGTTTTGAATCTAGAGTTCCTCACACATATTTGGTTAATGATGAAATTGAATTCTTATTCTATGTATTTATATATATAGCTTGTAATAGAGTTATGTGCTAGTAAAAGTATTCAGATTTGTCAACAAGTATCACAATAAAATATAATGTGATGATCTGCCCATTTCAATTTAAAAGTCACTTGATTAAGTATGTTTATATTGAATTTCACAAATATTTATTAAAATTTTACAACATTATTTTTCTATATGGTAATGATCTTGAAAAAAAGATATATTGATTGATAAAATTATTAAAAATTTCAGAGATTGGATAAATAAACTTTAATAGATATTATTTGTAATATTATTATTTAATATCTTTGTAGTGAAAATATATATAATAATTAATACTGTAACTTTTACTATATTAAAATATTCAATCATTAGCATAACTACTAATAAATAAATACATAAATTTTATTACAGATTATTCAGTAATGACAGTCTATAAAATTTATATTCGTGATATGACTAGATCAGTTTATATGACATATTAATTACTTATAATTAAAATTAAGTTACCAGCACTTCTATTTTTTTCTTAAACATGAGTAAGTATCAGATACGTTAAAAAAACTTATCAAAGAATTATCTGAAACATCTCAGGATTTTGAAGTTATAGAAGAGGGAACTGGGGATTTTTTTGATCTATATAATACAATTATTGATATAGAAAAACAGGAAGAGATTGCAAAATGAAATGTTATCAAATCATATTATAATTTTGGAAAAGCAATTAAGGATCATTATGATCATTACAAGAAAATAATCCTAGGCATTGATAAATAAAAAAGTTCAAAATTAGCTTTCAGACTCAGTGATGACCTGCTTCAGAAGAAAAAATATGGACTCTAAAGATTTATGATCTCTTTAGTGAAATAAGTAAATATATGATTCAAAGAATAAAATCTTTCTTAGTAGCATCTATATCAAAATTAAGCCAAGATAATATTGATCATATTTTAGTCAAGTTTTGTAAATAATATTTACTGCATCATACAAATGATGTGAACTTAGTTCACATTCTTAAAATTTTAGTTGTATATAATAATAAAGTTCGCTGATATCAGACAACTCTTCTAAAACTATCAAAGAACTAGTAGGGAACTAGGAAGACTTGCAAAAAACTATGTTTCAAGTGACTAAGATTCTAGATAATAGTAAAAAATTAACTGAAAAGAGAGCCAAAGATCTTATTATTAGACGTGTTTTAAGTAACTTATTAAGAAAAAATCTAAGTAAACATCTCACTGATGAAGTTTTTAGTTCACTTTTTTATTTTTTATATATAGCATACAAATATTACATATATATCATACATATACTATACCATAACATATATACATTATAAAAGATAGCATAGAAAAATTTGATTTTTTTTTCTAAAATTTATTACTCTTTTACTAGTGATTCAAGTTACTAAACGAAACTTAAAGGCTTTACAAATTGTTTAAATAGAAAAAGGTAAAATTTAGCGAAATTATATTAAAACTTTATTAAAAATCTGCGAAATTCTAGAAAAGGTAAAATTATATCAAAAGCAGTAGAGGACGTGAGCAGACTTCTTGTTTTTCATCCTGGGGTTTAAGAATAATAGTTTTCAAAATATATAGTTTAGGCATTCCTTTGCTGACTAAAATGAATACTTATTAATTTGCTATTCTAAAGCTCTCAAAATATAGTTTTACTATATCAATAAAAATTGTATTCTTAGAATGTACTCTAGCCTTCTCTTTCTCAATAAAATTACTAATTTGTTTTCTTACCTTTGTGAGCCTTTTTAATTATAATCCTATTATAATAAATATTTACACTTAATAAGGGACATGTGCAGACTGAAGTAAATTGTCTATGAATCTTAAGGAGATAAGTGCATGAATAGTGTATTCTAACCCTCTTTTACTCATTAAAATCATAAATTTGTTTTCTTACTTATGTACAGCTTCCTGATCATAATTTCATCATAATAAAAATTTATACCTAGCAGGAAACGCAAGCAGATTTTTTCTTTTTTCACCTGAAAGCTTAAAAATGATAGTTATCAAAATATATAGTCCAGGCGTTCCTTAGCTTAAGAATGATAGTTATCAAAATACGTAATCCAGGCGTTCCTTAGCTTAAGAATGATAATTATTAAAATATGTAGTCCAGGCGTTCTTTAGCTCTCAAAATATAGTTCTAGTATATCAATAAAATTATATACTTAGAACGTATCCTAGCTTCACTTACTCAATAAAATTACTAATTTATTTTTTTGCCTTTATGCGCCTTCCAGATTATAATCTTGATTAGAGGTTGGAACTAGTCAAAAAATCCTTAACCGGTTATTAACCGATTAATTAAATTCTTAACCGGTTAATTAACCAGTTAATTAACTAGTTAATTAATCAATTAATTAACCAAATATTAACTGGTTAATTAACCAGTTAAATATAAATAAGTTAGATAAAAATTTTATATTTCAAATTTTTTTAATAATTTCAAATGCTTATCAAAATATAATATTAATATAACAAATTTTTATCAATATATATTTATTTAAAATTATTTTAGAATACTTTACAAACTGTAAATTTATTAAAACTATAGTTTTAATAATACTCTATAACAGCGTTAAACTAAAATAAAATTTTTTAATTTTTATAATTATTTATAAATATAAATAATAAATATATAATAAGTTTATTTCTAAATTATAATTATAATATTAATTCATAATTTATAATAATATTTTATAATAATTTAATAATATTAAAATATTTATCTTATTAGCAAGCAAAGTAAACATATCTATATATTTTAGATTTTTTTAATAAAAAGAATTTCTTGAAAAAATTTTGAACTTAAAGTTATACGTTTATTTATCATAATATTTCTAGCATCTGAAAAAAGTCTTTCACTTAGAACTGATATTGCTGGAATAGATAAATATTTACATGCTATTATTGACAATATAGAATATTTTTGTTTATTATCATTTCACTATATAAAGGAATTAGTATTAAGACTTACTTTTTCTTCATTAAAATAATTATCTACTTCATTTATTTTATTATTATATTGTTGATCTTTACTTCCAAAAAGTGTATTAAAGATTAAATCATCAGATAATTTTCGTTTATTTGTTTGTATTTCAAAGGAATCATCATTTGGGTTTAATTCATATTTTAAATTTTCATATAAACTTTGTATTTTAATTTTAATTTCTAATTGAATTTCACTATTTGACAAAAAACTAAAATCTTTATATCCTGAATCTAACATTGTTAAAATAAGTGCAATTTCATTAGGTTTTTTCCAATAAAAATTAAGTGATTTTATAATTATTTTTAATACTTTTTTAATTATTTGTATTTTTTTTGAGTTTTCATTATAGTTAATTTTTTTAGATTTTCTTAAATTATGTTTAGTAAATCTAATGATAAGTAATTCATTAATTTCATCTATTTCTGAATCTGAACTTATAATATCTTTAGAAATATAATTATCAGATAAAAAATCTTCTATATTTTCTATAAAAAAAAAAATAAATTTAGTATATAAATATAATAATAAAAATTAAAATATATATATTAAATTTACCATTATTATCATCATTATTTTTATTATTATTATCTTAATCTTCTAAATCTTCAAAATTAATTTTAAATTTCTCTTTTAATTTTTTTTTAAAAATTACTTTTAATACTTTGATAATTGGTAATATTGATGATATTGTTGCATAATTAACTTCACTAAAAAATGTTGTTACTTCATCAAATGGTTTAAATATTTTACATAATTCTTCTAAAAGTATCCATTCTTCATCACATATCTTAATTTTTGTAAACGTTGTCCATTAAGTTTATCATTTCAATTTTCTTCAAGATGTAAGGTTGTATTTAAATAAATTATTGATTTTTTTAATTCAAGTAATCGTTTCCATGAATTATATTTAGAATTCCAATGAGTTTGTACTTTATTTATATTTTTAAGTATAGTTA